GCCTCTCCAACTTTGTGGGTTTCCTTCCGAGCGGTGCCGGCGCAGGCTTGCGGGCCCACGTGATTTCCATCCGGCCCCAGTGATTGCTCGCCCCAGTGGTTGCTCTTGTTAGTGCCTTAATCGTTGATGGACTCTCTCATCGCGGCTCGAACCAACATGGAAAAGCGTACAGAAGGCAACACTTGCGAGTCTTTGACCCTCCCAGTCCAGGCCCGGGAGGAGGGCGTGGGCCGCCAACTTGTAGAACTCGATTCCGAAGCCTTTAAGTTTTTAAGCGGCGCTCGACCCTGCTTCCCCCTCTGTGGGAATTTAATAGTTACCACCGGCTGAGGTTTAGTTTTAAAGTGAAAAATTTTAACTTCTGTGCGAACCGGAGTAGCCACGATCCCATTGCAAGTTATTTTGTTGTGGTCACATCTGGGATACTAGTTTTCTACTCTGAAAGCCCAGATGCCGCGAAAATCAAAGCTACCACGGCAACAGACGACACACAGTGTTTTTATTGATAGAAAACATTTAACTAGTTGGTGACATTGGTGATTCTGAACATGGGTTGATTTGAAACACAAAGGAACCTTAAGTTCACGTCCTAGCTTTGTTGTGCTATTTAACACATTCACTTAATAACTTTCTAGTAAGAAACTAGATGGACTAAACTACTACTCTAGAGATTACAAAGATGTTTGTAGACATTAAAAGCAGCTCATTCCAGAGTTTACATATTCAAAGTAACCAGGCTGGGCTGATGTTCACTTTCAGCATGTAATTATACCCTTGGATTAAGGAATGGGGAGGAGTCTGGTAAAATCTCATCTTGAATGTTCAAACCTGTGTTAAGATAGTTCGAGTGCAGTCCTTAAAGTTAAAAGGCTTGGATTCTGAAATGCGAGTTTTCAAACAGAATCAAATAACTTACCTTTTATGTTTATATTTTTGTATGAAAGCTATTTACATGGATCAAAATAAAAGCTATTTAGAAAGAAGCATGGTAAAGACTCCCTCCCCTCTGCCCCTGTCTGCCTTATCCCTTCATCTATCCTCTCCATACTTATAGTTCTTTAATCTAAAAGTCACTTTATTGTAGTGAACTCACAAATTAAAACAAAGGAGGCTGATTAAGTGTGATGGCTGGCCTTCTTGGAGGTCCTTCCTTTTACAGTGACTCTACTTGTGTGGTTTGTAAAACAACCAGTAAGAAATTTCTAATATAAGAGTTGTGGAAATATTTTGCCTGGGTCCTGTTTCCAGTTTTAAGTGGCCACAAGCAGACAAACATCATTTATTCACCTTTTTTTGGGGGGGGGGGTATACTTCACACTCAACTCCACAGGGATTGAAGCAATTATAGTCATCTTTCATAGTTTGTCAAAATTAATGAGAGGAGTAAAGGCCAGGATAAAGAAGTGAGGGAATCCAGTGTTCTTGCTGAAAAGTCTGGCCCAGTAGGTCCTTCTGTGCTTCTCTGTGACCAGGATAGTTCTCTGTCCTTGGTTCTGGGTAATTGTTATTTTCAACCACACATGTTCCACTTAGGCATGTCAAATAGTAATTTGGCATTTGGCACTGGTGACTTTTATTGTTAGCTGTTGAAGAATAAAAACTTTTTCATAGTATTTATTGTCATGGTCATTGATCACCGTGATTTGAAATGTGTCCTTTGCAAAATTCAGGTGTTAACGGATGTGCTGTATAAAGAGCATTAAGACATGCCTAGGTCATGAGGGCTCCTCCCTTATGAGTGAGTTAAAGCCCTTATACCCATAGAGTGCTTGGAGCCCTTGTCAAGGATGCATATTTTGGCAGTGGACAATGGTCTAATCAAAGAAGGGACTTATGGGGATATCAGTGTCACTGATTCTAAGGCCTGTGGAACATTGCAGAAGATGGGGAATAGGGCTGTGAGAGCCAGAAGATGGGGAGGTATACTGTAAAGTTCCGTCTTTGGAAATGACTTTTCTATGACTATCATGAACACACAGCAGCTGTTGTCACTTGCACAGTGTAGCCATATACATACCCACCCCTAAAGACATAGAAGTAGGATGGGTCTAGTTGGCAAGAGGAAGGCAAAGAGGTCCCCAGAAATGGAAGGAGGACAAGAGAAGACCAAGGAGGAGAAATGTCATAACCATACATTGTATGCACATAAGAGAGTCTTAAAAAAGTTAGCAACTAATTAAAAATTGAAACAAAAAAAAACCAAAACAAAACAAAAAAACCACCTCTGGTGCAGTTTTGCCCTTTGGCTCTTCTTGTGAGGGCATTGCATTTCCACTCTCTGGCACCTAGACAACAGAGAGCAGCCCTCGATGGGCAACTCCACCCATCTTGATTTGACTCCTCAGTCTCCTGAATTGTGAGGGGATACATTTTTACTTCTTATGAATTATCCTGTGTCAGGTATGTTGTTGAAGCAACAATAATAGTATAAGATACTTTATTTTCAGCTTATTTTTAGTAACTCGCTTGTGTAGTGTGTGCTTGGCCCAATACAACGAGATGACCATTTATGAGCAAAGTCTGGGGAGGCATTTTCTTTTCAGTGACAGATCACCACATTCTTTTTCCAATCAACATCGCTTCACTTGAAATTCTGTTTTGTATGTTGTTTTGGCCTGTGAGAATTGCAAATCTAGTGTGGAGTGTGAGTTACTTTGCATCATGGGTAAAAAGTAGATAGGTGTTAGTGTGTGAGCACTATCTCATCGATTGCCTCCTCAGGCGACATTTTCTACTTTGCTCTTTCTAATTGTGTTCATCTTGTTGTTATACTCCAGTTAGTTCCCATTAGTGATTACAGCAACATTCCATCGCTCACATCTTACATGGCACTGGGAGTTGGCCACAGGGCTCTCCTCACAGCAGTTGTTCAGTGATCTAGGATTATGAAGGATTTGTTTTGAAATTTCTTTCTCAGTTGTAGTAGACCAGAGAAGAAAAAGTGAAACTATGATTTTTTCTTTCGTTTTTGCCTAGTAGTGAGCTCTAGGTGCTGGTCTAAGCCATTAGTTCTCAATCTGTGGGTCACAGTCATGGGAACTATGTATTCCAATGGTTGTGACTCCCAGATTGAGATCTTCTGGTTTGGCTTACCTCTCTCTAAAACAGACGACTGGCACTTTTGAACACTGCTCAGATAAATACAATTGCGCTGCCAGTAGTTGTATTCTTTGTTTAAACTTTACATTTTCGTTAAGTGTATATTATGATATTTCATCTTCTAAACATCATCTCCTTAGGTAGGATACGCATGTTTCCTGGTTTGCCTATGAAGTAGTTGGTAGTGCTAAGCTGAGACTAATCTTTCTTTATTAGAAGTATTCTTTATTAGGGTTTTATTTTTTTATTTGTGTGTGTGTGTGTGTGTGTGTGTGTGTGTGTGTGTGATTGTGTTTTTGTGAGTGAATGCTATGTGAGTGTGGGTACCCATGTAGGCCAGAAGATAGCATCAAATCTTTTAAAGCTAGAGTTATAGAGTTATAAGTTGCTTTGCATGGGTGCTGGGAATCGAGCCTGGGTCCCCTAGGTGTTAGCAAGTTCTCTCATTCACTTAGCTATCTCTCCAGCTCCTTCTAAAACTATTCTTAAGAAGTTCATAAAAAGTCATGCTAATTTATTCTGTGTGTTCATTCTCTTTAGCTTTGTATATTACAGAATCTTCTTGGCTCCTTGAAGCCCTGGTCTTGCTTTTCCTCCATTAATTTTGTAGATTTTACTTCAATCTCTTTCAGGCCATAGTATAACATAATCTAGGGTGATTCATCACTCCTCATGTCTTTTTTCATCTTCTTTTTTAAAAATACCATTTAATTTCTACACAATATTCTTTCCCTAGACATATCTTATTTTGCATTTCTCATCTCTCGAGGCTACTCAAAATCTGTCTTCATTCTAGGTTTCCCTGCTGGTTGGCAATATATTTCGAATGGTCTTCGTTTTAGTGTCCTGTAAGCACAAAGCACAGCATACATAATCTGACTGTGTATCTATTTCATCCGAAAACCTCTTTGTCCTTTCACACCTCATCTTGGTTCTAGGATCTTCACTTACTCAGTCTTGAAACCCAGCACATTTTTTGTGCATGTGCGCATGTGTGGAATCTGTCTTTCTTTTAGAAAGATCTCTCACTCCTGGAATTTACCATGTAGGCTAGTCAGGGAGCCCTAGGGATTTGCCTGTCTCTGTCTCCCCAGTGCTAGGATATCAAGTCCAGTGCATGTCACACCATCTGGCTTTTCCCCTGTGGCTTCTGGGTATTGAACTCAGACCCTCTTGCTAACAGAGAAAACACTTCAAAAACCGAGACATCTTTTTTTCCCTGAGGAGTTCTTAAT